TCTAATCATGGAGTAATGGGTTAATGGTTTAATGGGTTTTCAGGGAGTGGTTCTGAGCATTTTACAAGGAGAGCATGAGTCTCTCTGTCTCTACTCTGCCATTTTCTGACATCTGAGATCCCTATGTTGCTGTAAAGCCACTACCAAAGAAGACTCTCACCAGATGTGTTCCCTGGACTTTGGACTTCCCAGCTTCAGAAACTGTAAGCAACAAATTTCATTTTCTTACAAATTACCCAGTTCCAAGTATTTTGTTGTAAGTAACAGGAAAGGACTAATACATTAACACTGTGGGCCACTACTTGAAAAACACAGAGTCCCAGCTCCAGTATTCCTACTGGATTGAAATTGGAAATATCAGTAAGAACTCATGGATTGTGATATATAGAAATAGACAGATATAGGAATAGATATAGGTATGTGTATGTTGCTGTGGATTGAATGTCCCCCCAAAACTCATTGAAGTTTGATCCCTATTGTAACAGTGTTAAGAGACTGGGAAATCAGGGGATGGCAGTGTTGAAAGGTGGGGCCTCTAAGAGATGATTGGATCATGAGGACTGTGCCCTTGTGAATGAATGATTCTAATCATGGAGTAATGGGTTAATGGTTTAATGGGTTTTCAGGGAGTGGTTCTGATGGCTTTATAGGAGAGGAAGTGGGCAGGTTAGCTCTCTCACTCTTGCCATTCTCACCATGTGATACCTTGCATGGCCATGGAACTCTAGAGAGTTCCCATCAGAACTCTCTAGAAGAAGAATCTCATCAGATGCACTCCTGGACCTTGGACTTCTCAGCCTCCAAAACTGTGAAAAATAAATTCTATTTCTTTATAAATTACCCTGTTTCCAGTATTCTGTTATAAGCAACAGAAAATGGACTAATACATATTTATTTTCCAGCTCTGTGTGCTTAGAGGTCCCAGAAGCAATAGCTACAAACACACTTAGCACACAGATCTTGATTTCTAAATACCTCTTTTCAATAAAAGGAACCAAGGAAATGACCTTATACATAGAAAATTCTAAAGAATACAAAAAACTATTAAAGCTAGTAAATAAAATGATCAAGATACAGAATACAAGATCAACAATACAAGATCAAAAATTGGTGTATTTTGGGCCAGCCCGGTGGCGCACTGGATAGTGCGCCGCTTGGGAAGCACGGCGGTGCTCCCGCCCGAGGGTTCGGATCCCACATACAGACCGGTTCCCGCTCACTGGCTGAGCGAGGCGCGGGAGCAACGCCAAGGGTTGCGATCCCGTTGCCAGTC